AATTTTCATTTCTATTTGTTTAATTTTTGGGGGGGAACCCGGAAGATGGAGGGGGGGGGATAACGTTAAACGAAGTTTCAACTTCAAGCGGCCTAAGAACTTCTATCGTAATTTTTTTTTTTTTGCAAAATACCAAGCTTTTGATGTTATTACCTAAACTACAGTTGACGCAATTCGTTCAATATTACAATACTAGTAAATATGTTTGTAACTATTTATTCAGAAATTTTAACTTTATATAGCTAATTACTTTTGCAAAACCACCTCTTCTATTTAATAATATTAATATAATAAGGATATACGTCAAGGATTTATAGATCCTTTCTTTGGTAATTGTTTTAAATTTATCATTGTTATAAAGTATAATAGCTTCTCTTGCACCATCCCAAGAATTCCTTCCTATTAGTCGATACTATAGAAATATATGCATATATTTAACATTAAAATAAAATAAATAGCTGCTACATTAGCATTGTAATAAAAAAAATTTTACGCACTTGAATTGGAGTAACCATGCCAAACATAATTAATTTCCAAAATCCAAAACCAAACTTTTTGATTATTTCGTAAGAATAAGGATAACATCCAATGTCTCTGCTTAAAGTATCCATATAGGATATATAGCTTAGACGAATAACACTACGAGCGGCTTCACAATAATTTTTACGAATTTTTTCATAATAGTTACGTATAGATTTCTCCATTTCGAATTGAGATGGGAGTGGTTTGATCAATCCTTTAATATGACTGGTTACATAACGTGCTTGCATTTCACTTTGTTATTTAAAAGAAATTTAATTAAAGAATATTAACTATTGTATAAATGATTCAATGTCTATATGTAAAATCATAAACTCACCTAACTGGCAAGATAGCACCAGCTCCTAATACAAGTCCAAGAAATGCAATATTTTGATATTTAGGAGGAAATATCATTTTATACAACCAAACTAAATCATGTAAATCTTTTCCATATTCTTGCACAATTTCATCCCCACCAGTAAAAATATGCTCTTCTAAAAATGGATAATTAATATAATATCCTGTGGAATAAATAACAACATCAATATCCTCCAAGACTGTCCCATCAACGAATTCAATTTGTTTATTTTCTGTTTTAAATTCTTTAATGTTCGGTTTCACAATAACTGTACCAGCTGCAAGGCACTGAAAGATTTCAAAATTTATTGCAGGAAATGTTTTAATTAAAGGATCAGTGGGCTTTAGGTGAGGAGGGTATGGAAAAGATTTAATAACTTTATTTTCCATCATTTTTCCTCTAATAGATGATGGAATCATATATGCTGAGAAACGAGATGTATGGTCACGAACTTTACCATTTACGAAGCGTGGTATTATCCATGGAAGTTTTCCTGTATAAAATAATCAAAATTATAATTGCAGTGATCTAAAAATATTTATATAAAATATAATATTTACCTCTACGAATGCTTAAATAGACTTGTGATGCGGCATGAGTTAATTCAACCGCAATGTCCAAGGCACTAAATTAATTGGTTAATAAAGGTTCATATAATCAGTGTTGTCACTTGGCCATTTAGCCTGCCAATGGCCTAATTGGGCAAAAAATTTTATTTGCCCGAAATGGCCAAATAAGAAGCTAGCAATATGGTTGTTAATGTTTTTGGCCGAAGTTTGGCTACTGGCCATTGGTTGTTGTCTATTTTGTCCGACCAAAGGCCAAAAAAATTGGTTTGCCGCAAGAAATTACTAACACTGCACATTATATAATTTACATCCATATTCATACGCACCTATTTCCGCAACCAACAACCAAAACTCGTTTGTTTTCAAAGTTTACAGCTCTAAACATATATAATTCATTAGTAATAATGATCGTAATATATACATATTATAAATGTGTTAATTACAAATAAACTTACCGTTTATACTGGTGGGCATGTATTTGTTTACCTTTAAATAAATCCATTCCTTTATATTCGGGCCATCTAGCTTTGTGATGATGGCCTGAGCAAACCATCACGAAATCAAAAATCTCTTCTTTTTCTTCATTCTCACGTTGAATAATATATTTAACCTTCCATCGTTTATCAGGAAGTATTGATATATTTAACACGGTAATGTT